AAGGAACTTGGATTTCCATTCATTCTTCTTTAAGGATTAATAAAAATGACAAGCTGCTGGAAAATCTAACAAAAGAAAGAAGATACAAATAGAACAAATAAGGAATTAAATGGGTGATGTCACAACAGAACCAAATGAAATATAAAGGATAATAACAAAATACTATTAAGAACAAGACTCTAAAAAATTTAAAAACCTGGAGGATATGGACAAACGGAGGATATGGACAAGTTTGAGACTCTCACTGTCTACCTAAAAGAACACAGACAGAGGCAGAATATTCAAACAGACCCATAAAAAAAAAAGAACAGATCATAAAAATACACATCCCTACCCCACCACACACACACACACACACACCAGTCCTAGTCAGATGGCTTCACTGGTGAGTCCTACTAAACTTTCAAAGAAGAGCTGACACTAATTCTACTTAAACAATTTCAGAATATAGAAAAAGATTCATATTCCTGAACTCATTCTATGAAGCAAGTATACCCCTGATATTAAAGTCAGGCATAGACAGCTGTAAAAAAAGAAAATTACAGACTAATATCCTTCATAAGCATAGATGTAAAAATTCTCAACAAAATTCTAGCCAACAGAACCCAACATCATATTTTAAAAAGTCTTTCATAATGATTAAGTGAGATTACTACCAGATATGCCAGGATGGTTCAACATTAGAAAAAACAATCATTGTAATCTACCACCACATCAATAAAACAAAGGAAAAGAACTACATGATCTTATTAATCATAGAAATAGCATGACAAAATTCAATATCTTTTTCTATAAAAATGTTCAATAAAATAAGAACAGAAGGGAAATCCCTCAACATAATTAAAGCATATATACAAAACCAACAGCCAATATTACTCTTAATGGAGAAAAATTTAAGTCAGTTCTACTGCAAACAGGAATCAAACAAGGGTGTTTATTAGCAGCATTCCTATTTAATATTGTATTTTAAGCTATAGTCAAGAGGAACAAGGGCAAGAAAAAGAAAACATGGCATTCAGGCGAGCTCTGGTGGCCTAATGGCAAGAAGCTGCACTACAATCCCAGAGGTGAGTGGTTCAAATCTACCAGATGCTCTGCTGGAGAAGGAGGGACAATCTCCTCCTGAACCAGTCAGATCCAATTTGATGGTACATACATAAAAATTAAAAAAAAAATAAATACAAGGCATTCAAATTCGCAAAGAAGAAATAAAACTATCTCTATTTGTACATTATATGATCCTACATAGAGAAAATCTTAAAGATTCAGCAGGGAAAATACTAGATGTAATTGACCACTTCAGAAAAGGGGCAGAGTACAAGATCAACATACAAAATTCAGTCCACTAGCTCCACAGTAGCAAAGAGAACTCTAAAAAGAAAATAGGGAAAATTGTATCTTTTACAGTAACCAACCACTAGATTAAATATTTGAGAATAAATCTAACCAGAGATAAATGGGGGGGGGGGAATAACTCAAAACACTCAAACTCCCTGGTGTTGAGTCAAAATTGACTTATAGTTGACCCTCTATTAAGTTTCTGGAGGCTATAAATCTCATGGGAGATCATTCCTTCTCCCATGGCATTACTGATGAAGTCAAACTTAAAGAGACGCATCACCTGTGGGTTAGCTGTGCAATTCCCTACTCTGCCATCAGAGTCTCCTTAAAATACAGAAGACCTATACAAAGAAAACGACAATACACTACTACAAGAAACCCAAAAAGACCTACAAAAAAGGAAGAGTATACTATGCTCATGGATCGGAAGACTTAACAGTGTGAAAATCACAATATTAACAAAAGCCAACTACCGATATCATGTGATCTCATTCTAGAGCCCATCAACATTTTTCAAAGAGATGGAAAAAATAATCACTGGTATTATATGGAAAGAAAAATTACTCCAGATAAGCAATATGATACTGAGTAGAAAAATAGAGAACCCAAAAATAGACCCATCCACCTTTGGACAGGTGATCTTTGAAAAAGAGATGAAACCCAGTAAGTAGGAAAAAGACATCCTCTTTAACAAAACAGTGCTGCAAAACTATATTTAGCTGCAAAACACTGTTATATGACCTATACCTTACATCACATACAAAAATTAACTCAAGATGGATCAATAACCTCAGTGTAAAACTTAGAAGCCCTAATCTAAAATCTATCAGATATAACTGAAAATTCACTATCAGTATCTGGTAATCTAAACAGCTGGGACCTCCTACAAATTAAATCCTTATTTGCATCAAAAGAGAAAATATATTTAGTAATGACACATCTGACAAAGGACCTATCTCTAAAATTTACAGAAAACACCAACAGAAAAACAGCCCAATTATAAAATGGACAGAGAACATGCATGACAAGACACTTCACCAAAGAAGATATTAAGATGACCAACAGACACAAGAAGAAATACTCAAAATCATTAGCAACTACATCTCACTCCAACTACAATAGCAATTAAATAAAGAATAAATAAATGTTGGCAAGGATATGGAGAATCTAGAACTTTAATTCACTGTGGTGAAAATGTAAAATGGTACAAGCACTATGAAAAGCAGTTTGGCACATCCATAGAAAGTTGGGACTAGAAATATCATTTGATTCAGAAATTCTACTACCAAGTATATATCCCAAAGAAATAAGAGCTGGAATATGGAATATGTGCGTTCATGTTCATTCCAATATTATTTATAATGGCAAAGAGATGTAAACAGTTCAAGCATTCATCAATTAACATATGGCTAAAGAAACTATGTGCAATGGTGAATTATGCAACACTAAAGAATGCTAAAGAATTCATGACACACTGTACAATATGGATGACTCTAGAATAAACTATGCAGAATGACATTAAATCAATCAGAAAAATATAATTATGGTATACAATCACTATTATAAAAAGATACGGAAGGAAGAAAAAAAAAAGGTAAGGATAAGTTTACACAGTGGATCATTCTCAGATGGTTACCAGGAATGGGCAGGGAGCAAAAGAGGGGTTAAAATTAGTAAATAGATAAGCTAGGTAAAGGGAAAAGCAACATACAATAAGAGGTTGATTAGACATTGTACTTAATTACATTAATCAACTATAATTAATATTATAAAATAAAATGTATATGGATGATTGAAAGAAAAAT